AGGTAAAAGAACATATATTGAGTACTAAAAATGTCAAAGACGTTTTCAGTGTGTGTGTGTGTGTATAATATATATATATATATATATATATATATATATATATATATATATATATATATATATATATATATAGACACACACACATCAGGGGACATTTAAGATATGCTAGGGGCATAGGAGATACGCAAATTTGGACATTTAAGCTCACAACAGGAGTATATTTGGACATTACCCATCACCCCAGGGGCATAGAACAGTTAGGTAACCCAGGCACACATCAACATATATGCAAGCAACTGTCTGGCTTCTATTGATTCAGTTAACTCAGTAGCGATACAAAATGAACTCCAACATGGAAGTAATATTTTACAAGGCAATACAAGTGTACAGTCCTAATAAAATAGAAACAAAAATAACGCCTCAGTGATCTGTCATGAGGCACGTTGGCAGTCTTTGTACCACGACCGGTTGACCAGACATGCAGAATGAGTCTCCAATCTCAAAACATCTGCTAGATCATCTTCAAGATGATTGTATATATAAACTTTCTGTCGCAGATTGTTAGAACAGCTTGCTTAGAATAGTACACCTCCCCATCAGTTCTTCCACTTGTTCATACCAATTCAATTGCATGCATAACATAAACTTTGTTAAATCCAGTAAAACTTACCCACCAATTGCAGATCAGGCTTTCCTTCCTACAAAATGGCAATTCAGGTTGTCGCTTCCTTTTCAGTGTCCCAACCATCCTCAGAACTTCATGCCTTCGAAATTAGACTGAGACTGCCACAAAGATGGAAAAACAATACAACAAGCAGAATAGCATAAAGAAAACACAGCATTAGTGATCACAAAGTAGAATATAGGGTTCATCGAGGCATGCCTTAGTGATGGTTTCTGTGCAGCATTAGCAGTCACTCCATGAGCTTTTTGAAGGGCCACTCCAAATGCAAAGTTTGGCTTTACAAAATTAAGTACAAACAGAAGATAAAGCAAACATAATCAGTCAACAATATGTAATATCGACAATGCATATGTGAACAAGGGAAGCATACAACACAAGCAAGACCTTTAAGGTATCTCCCACACCATCTCGTGCTGATCCATTCAAGTTATCCATCTCTACGTTGGCTCCCTGCCTACCATAGTGCAGTAGATCTTTTCCGTCATCCAAACTGGTGCTATCACTGCCAGCAAGCTGTTGCATAACCACCGCCTCAAATGTCTCTGAATTGCAGAACAGCTTTCCCGCTGAAGCCTTGCCACTTCCAAAATGTGAAATTCCATTTACCAGCTTCGCTCCATTGCCATCTTGGTCATCTCCAAACGGTCCTTCCGTGCCATCATCCACACCACTGCTGCCAACTACAGCCAAGTTCTCCAAACTATGAGCTTTGAAACAAACTATGTCATTAGGTATCCGCTCTGTCAGTAAAAACACGTATTGACATCAACAAGAAGCAAATTCTGCTTCAAATTAACAACTATTCCCCGAGATCATTGGAAAAACATACCTGATATGTTATCGATGTTAGAAGCAAATGCTTGCAGCTGCCAGCTCAGGCAAACAGAACCATAGCTAACTTGCTTAAAGACAACTTCATGTGGTTCATCCTTTTTCCTCTTGCTCCAATTCTCATCTACATCTACATGATTGTGTTGGTCAGAGTTTGGAAATTTCTCCCAGCTTGAATTAATCGATGCCTGCTTCTCATGTTTGTTTGCTCTATCATCCAAGTAATCAGCATTCATTCTTCTCTTACGTGGAAGCACCGATGGTCCTCCTTGACATTCATCACACGAATCTTCACCAGAAGTTTTATCAATCAGTTGCTGGCCTATGGGTCTGGATGGACGAGGTCTCTTATGTCCTACTGGAAAAACATAAGAAGGTAGCTGCTTTCTACGAACATGAGAAACATATATTTCCATCCTAGGTTTCCAGAACATATACATGTTCACTTCATGCCTAAACTCATCAACGGTTCCACGTATATCAAACTGTTGGCCTTCTTGGATCTTCACCCCTTGTTTCCTTTGCAAGCCCATAAAGAAGGCACAATGTGACCACTGTCTGGAGTGATCTACATACTCATTGGGGTATGGATGGCACTGCAGCATGCCATAGGTGTCCCGCTCAATCTGTTTGAGAAGAAAAGAGGAAGAAGTTTTTTCAGAGAGAGAACAAGCAAAATGATTAATTTCCCTATCCTTTGAATGCAGAATCATATCAGATAAACCTGGGACAAGCAAGATCACAAGGCACACGGAATCCAAAAACAACTGGAAGTACCTTCAGAGTCAACTGCCTCAGACGTGATTCAACCCACCCCTTCCATAACCTTAGATCCTCAGAATCAGCAGCTACAATATCAATCTGGAGATAGTTTCTGTATGTCTCAAAGAAAAGGTAAGACTCAAACAAAGCACTCCAACCTGCCTTATTCAACTCAATATCCTGCAAGAATGAATATAAAGGTATTAAAGCAAAATTCTGTTTCTCAACAATACCTCAGAGGAAGTCATTAAGTAATTAAGTATAGACCTCACAGGTCATGTTGCCAATTTGAAATTGTTCCATCATAACTCTTAATGTGCTTGTTGATACGTTATAACTAGAGTTCATGCATGGATATGCCGGAGTAATAATAGGCATATGGTGAGTTCGATCTCGTGGGTTCTTACGCGGATCCCACACAGGGAGACCAAGTTCATCTTCCTCAGTAGCACACAACATTACTGGATTTGGCCAGCGCCACTGAGTATAAACTCTGAAGAATCGTGATACTAGCATACTTGGGACAGCATTAGGATAAAGCTGACAGACACGAGCAACCAACAGAGCCCAATTTACACCCCCAAGAAATCCAGTCACCTGAACAGAGAAATGTAATAAATGAGTCATATTAAAGTAGTTAATCAGTTGTAAAAATTACAAAACAATGATAGCTTACATTTGAATAAACTCCCCGCTTCTTAGCCCAGAACTTCAAGCATCTGAGAGTTGTTCGAAAATTCTACAAAAAAAATATTGACTCACAGGATTAAAGCCAAAGGACTGCAAAAATATGAAAAGAAAAATGCAAAATCAAGTATAATAACCTCGATTTTTGGCACCAACAGAAGAATTTGGTCTGCTACCCTACAGCCATTAAGACTTCTAACTGTTGCCTCGTCAACATCATAAAGCACAGATCCATGGGAGATGTCCAAATCCTACATAAAAGTTAGTAAAAGGAAGACCACATTATGATACCATAGTTTCAATGTGACCACATTATACAGTAGCCACACCATTTGGGTGAATTCAAATTACCAACCAGATAACATTTGGAGACTTTTCCAATCAGCTTGAGCAAATTAGTTGTGTACAAATTCACAAACAAAAGAAACAAAAGAACAAGTATAAAGTAAATGAACAAGACAGAAATCGGAAGAAACATTAAAATATTAAATACATAAACAATCTAACTTAAGTTCTCCAACCTTATAGGCATCTTTTAACAAAAATTAGCCCACATATATAATGTCAAAATAACTTCAATTATGAAAATTGAAACTTCTGCATGAAAATATAAAGACATGTTTCTCCAGAGAACAAGACACCTAGAAATAAACAGAGATTCTCAGTGATATAATAGCGGAAACATTAGAGAAAAAGTTTACAGGAATCAAGAAATACTAAAAATATTGATTACATAGTACATATAGCTTGTACTGAATATGTATGCCTGCATATTCAGATGGGATAGGCATAAAGTAAAATACATGTTAAACACAAGTTACGTAAAGATGGAAAGAATATGTCATGTTCAAGATAGGGAATGTGGAACAAGATGTGAGCCACTTGGTTTGAGATCCAAAAGCCTATTAAGTAATTCACATGATAGGAATTACTTGCTGCTGGGTCAGTCAACAGATGTTGATCCCTTAACAAGCCAATAGTTCAGAAATGGTAAAGACTGGGAAGTTGTAACTGAAGGAGATCCTTCCAGTGGATATGCCAAGAGAGAGAGAGAGATGTGAAGCTCCCAACAATTCACTATTGAGGAAACATCCAAGAATGTAAGCAACAGTAGAAGAGGAATACGAGAAAGATAGTGACACTCATTCATCAAGAATCCGGAGGACAAAAGTAGGATGGTGAAAAGAATCAAAGGTTTATTATATTAAGCTAACAATCTCACCTTATGTAAAATCAGTATACAGTATTCACTGGTGACTGCCATTCTACAGTATTTGTCACGTATACAGCTTCAAAAAGTATTACGAGCCATAATGCAATGCAGAAAAGGCAGCCAAAGAACAACACCTAGGAATAAAGTTTAGAAAGGAATTTTAGGAGAACAGGGAACTCTATACACAATCATGCAATAGGACATGCATGAATTCCCCAAATTAGCGCAACAGACTTCTGTAACAATAAATAAAATGAAATGCAAAGAAAAAAAACTTCTCTTATGCTTAACTGAGATACCAATGGAAGCCATCTATTGGAAAGTCAGAGAATTAGACAAGCCGAATGACAGAATACAGTAAAAGGCAATTGAACTTGTGAAGTAAATAGATAAGGGAAGCTAGACAAGTTGACCAGTGAGTAAGAGACATCCCACTTCAAGACCTAACAAACTGGGTTTCACATTATGAACCTACCTCTGGAACAACTAACTGTGATATACTGGCATAAAGAAGATCGATGGATATCCCGTGAAATTTAAATCTCATAACAGGAACATGAGCATCAGGCACTGGTTGCAGTTCAGAAACTTCCTCCATTTCAGCCAAAATGTCATGCAAAACAATGAAGAAGTCTTCCTGCAAAAGGTTCCCAGAAAGTTAGGTATCAAAGTATATGAGATATATTTCTCAAATCAGAAGTCAGATAAAGTTCTGAAAAGAAAAGGTTTAAACCTCTCGATTAACATAGGAAGGCCCAACACACAGCGTATCAATGTCAGACCCTGGTCCGTGAACCTGCCATAAGACAACAATTTTTTAAAGTATTTGTAAGAGCTCCTTGGTTCAAAGTACTACTCATCTGAACAACCTTAGAAATAAGAAATAGAAAATCATGAGAAACTTACAGGAACAGCAAATTGTGAATGGGAAATCAAAACAAAAGGAAAGAAATATAAGCCAAAGGAAAGCAACTTGTTAGATAAACACTAAACAAGACAAGCTACACATGAAAAATACTACAAAAAAGCAGTCCCATGGTCAGTTGAACTGGTAATGTTTTAATATTGACCTTTATTAGACACTAATCTTTTGGATAATCAATAATTCTTTTTAGTCAAATTGCTAATCAATCTAATCTTCTAGTCCACAAGTTTCCAAACCCAAAGTCCATTACTGAACTAAATCCTGGCTTGAGACATTCAGCCAAAACATGCTACTTCATTCAAACAGTTACCATATGTGGAGAGTGAATCATGAGCCAACATCAAAATTTTAACTCAAAGAAAATTAATAAAAAGTCATAGAACTAAGCCTGGCATTCAGAAGAAATTATTTGAGTTCAGCCAACACCAGTGAACAGGCTAAAACACACCAAAACTTTTCAAGTTGACAAAAGTTCTTAGAATTGAACAAATAAGTTTCTACAATATTTCAATAAGTTTCTACAATATGGACAGCCTTGCTTTCAAGCTTTCTCATGTCTTCAGTTTGAAACTATGATAGCTCAATAAAGCAACAACAAAAAGAAGCAACAGAATTATCAATATTTGCAACTCCCAGATGCATGATAAATACAATATATGTATCAGAAGTGATATCTCCTTTAGGCATGGAGCTTCCACATAGACATTATACATGACAAAAGAATGTTATGCTCACCTACAATCCAGGTAGCTTATAAAACCAGACTGAAATGGCAATAAATGTAGACTGAAATGGTGATGAACCAACTACTTGTGCAATTTTAAGGACAGAAGATAAAACAACATGATGTTGTATTTGTAGGCAGCTAGAAGTAAAACTATGTCCCCCGTTGAAGTCAATAGTCGAAAATTCCATTCTAAATCATGCATGTTCTTATAGCTGTTAAACTCATTTGGGGCATAAGATCACACATCCTACGGCCCATATCCAATTGTACAAGCCAGACCGTATAATAAACCAGAGCTACCAGTGATTCCAAGTCGACTATTGAGTTGACTCAGTACAAGGATTTAAATACCAATCCTTGGTTCGACTGATCGGTATGCACCATAATGACTAGCATTTGAATTCATGACTCTGTCAACTTAAACGAGTAGACTCAAGTCAGCCAAGTTGGTTTTTGACTTGAAGCCCTCCAATTCCACCTAGTCACTATCGTTGTCACTGCCTCCTTTCTCCAAATAAAGGTATAGACTCTCTTCCCTCCCCTCCTCTTCTTCTCTTTCCTCTTCCTCTCCCATCTCTATTCTTAACTCTATCTGCAGCCAAAAACTGTTGTCACCCTCCCCTCCGTCTTCCATCCTCTCCACTCTATCTTGTCATCTCTTCCCCCTCTCCTCCCCTCTCTCCATGGACAACAGTTACTACCACTGTGCCACTTCTCTCCCTTCCCTCCATGGCAGCAACTACAGCTGCAACCTATCTTCTCCCCCTCTCTCCTTCCCTCCTTCCATGGCTAGCAACTGCAACCACAACTCATGCAATGGACTTAATATTCAAGTGTGTGTCTAAATCATCATTTCATGCCTATATTTATGATATACTTCTTGTCATTTTGGTCTTATAATATATTAATATTCACAAAATGCTGCTGATAGCAACATGTTTCTTGACAAATAGTAAATTATTATGACGTTTTGATCCTAGAAATGAGTCACATTTGGTTTAAAATTTTAATAGGCAAGGTTTCTCGTCTCAATCTATACAAGTTTTGGCACGTTGTTGAATAAGTTATCGGTGATACCAGGCATGATACCGACCTGCATTGTCCAGTATCATTGAAAATAATAGAAATTGAATATTGATTGGTACAAAGCTATACGGTCCAATATCAATTTTTAGTTCGACACATGAAATACCAATTGGTACATATCAGTCCAACCATTATTACTACTTGGTTATGTGAAAAGAATAATTATTTATGACATTATGATGTATGGTTTCTAAAAGTAATGTTTATTAGATTTGTAGTTTCCTATGATCTGATTCCACAATCCAAGTTTATGGACCCTCCCCTGTTCCTAGGTAAGTATGCAAGTTTGACAACATTGCATGTCCTTATTCATACACACAATTAACGAAGGCTTAACAAAGGAAACTCCATAAGAAATAAAGATCAAAGATGAAAAAAAAAATTAAGCATCATGTAAAATCAAGCTTGTTGATCTCTTACCCCCAAACGATAAGATCCAAATGTAAAAATGACAGCATTGGCCTCTTCAACCATTTGATCAGAGTAACCCCTTTGACGAGTTAACTGCTTCACCCAGCTTTTAACAATCTAGAGATCCAAGTTCATATTAAGAGAAATCATATCATGTTATATAGAAATATTGGGTCATACAAACTAAATAATGAAAAGATACAGATGAGTCAGCATGATAAAATAAAGCAAAGTGCCACAGTTATGAGTCTAAAAGCAGATTGGAACATAAAAACATATATTCAGCATAATAACACATTCAATCAATTGGTACATAATAAGGCTCCAAGATACCCAAAAAGAACATAAATACGACAAAATTCAAATGCAACTTGAGAAGCTAATCAGAAAGCGAAATTTTGTTGACTTTACCAAGGTTGCAAACCTTTTTTTCCTACCTAGGACTGCAAAAGGGATCGTAAACTCAGATGATAGAATTGTAAGATTATACAATTTAGACAATTAAATATCAAAAATCTTTATAAATGATTTTTTATTAAATTTTAGTCTCTCATATGTTCTTATGCTTATAATTGCATTTTAATTAAAGTAAATTCATAATTTCATAAGTGTTTAATATTTGATGAATAATAATTTTTTTTATTTTATGTTTTATTTTTTTTCAGGTTTCAAGGGTTCGATTATACAATTCAAGAATATGCTCATCTCAATTCAAGAATGATACCCGCTTACAAAAATAATGATTGTATTAGTTCTTTAAATATTTCAAGGGTTCGAAATATTTAAAGAACTTTGTATATTAGTGATGGAAACTTTGTGTTACCAATGTCATATTTTGGTTTCTTTGAACTTGTGAACAAGCAACAGTAAAGATGCATATAAAATTTGTTCTTTACCAACTTGCATTTGAAAATTATTTTATTTAGATGCACCAGCATAGAACATGGAATTTCTTCCACTGGATCCTTAAGAGACAAAAACAACCTAGTCTTCATGGCCTTTCAGTTCAGGTTATGAAATGAATTTATTTCATCTATGACAAAATCCTCTCCCATGATCAGTCAAGCCTAAGACGTGAAATCATACAGGAAATGAAGTTATACCATGAAACTAACTAAAATAAACTATCCACATTGGAACACATTCTGCCACACAACTTTATTGGCAAAAGGTTAAATCATCCTACAAGAACAAGCTGCCTTCAGTCACACTTTGCATCACAATTTGGTATGCTATGATGGTCCAATAGAATAAAAATAAATGCAAGTGGCTAGCACCATATTGTTTATGACGAAGTAGTAGCTAAAAACAACATATGAAAGATTGCACCAATATGTAAACCATATATTTCATAATATTCAACAAACTACTAAATCACATCAAACATGACCCAATGCATCTAGGTATAGCAGCTAAACACACCATACAAAAGACTGCACTAAAGTAGTTGAGGAAAGGGAGAGGGCAAAGTAATGTTCGGTGAGGACTGGGAACTGAGGAGAGACAAGTAGTTATTCGTTCAGTGAGGATTAAGGAGTGACCTACAAGTAGCAGTTATTTGCTAAAGTTGCAAAGTATTATTCTAATCTTTTTCTCTTTTTATAGCTCCCTTATTTTTAATCTTTTCTTTTTCCTTTCCCCTCTTTGTTCCCTTCCATCATTCCTTAAGTCCCCATAGGTCTGTTGATCTTGTAATATCTGACCCACTTTCTCATCGAGCGAAGGGTACCAAAAAAGATTCAGATTGATTTTCCAATCAAAAACAAAAGTAACATTATGTAAAATCGTTGGCTTTTTCCTCTACCTTTGTCCGTACCCCATAGGCACAATGTTTGAGACAACAGAGACTCTTTTTCTACTGTAAGAATCCACATTATTACATTCCAATTCCTTCCCAGTACCTCCTAAGGAAAAAACCAAATTGGGTCCCATTATATTTCAATTTTGTTACTCCATATTTTACTCAAAAAGAAAACGACAACAATAGCAGCTAAGGCTTGAGAACCAGAGAGAGGCAGCTCGTCATTGAAGGATGATTTGTCATTTGAGAGAGCCGGAAGGCAGCAGGCAATGACCGGCTTTCTAAAATTCACCAGCCGACTCACCAGCTTTTATCTAGGCCATAGGATCGTGAGATCCTGCGGTCCATATCATAATTTTAACAATCTTGTTATGTACTAAGAGAACAAGCAAAACCAATTTTGGAAACAAGCTTTTCTCATGAAAGTCAGCAAAAGCTTTGATTTCCTTCCTCTTCTTTTGGGAAACACGCTTTGCTTTTCTTAGCTTCTCAAAGATGTGACAGTACTACTGGTTAAAAGCAATCAAATATTAACAAAAGTCTTAAGTAGATTGGGGAACATGCTTGTGTGACGACATGTATGCAGTCAGCTATATGCCTATGAGTATCCCTCTCACTGATGTCTTTTCACTAAATTAAGCTTCTATAATACCTAGTATTGAGGTAACTAAAACTAAATTTCTCAGGTATCAAACCTCTATCCCATAGATTCCCAGGTATCACAAGAAAGTGATCATTTCCTTCTGAATATTCATATTATTCATTCTTTGACACTCTAACTTGTTCCATCCATCATCACTTACAGAAGCTTGTTCCTTTGGGGCAACTACCCAAAGTGATTTAAGAGTCCATACTGAATTTTCAAAAGTGACGTAGGTTGGTTCCCAGAAAAAAACTTTTTAAGTTAAAGGGACATCGTGTTCAAGTTACTTAACCACCCAAGTTGATGATAATAAATTTAATCCATATTTTACATTTCAAGTTCCCTTGATGTCCCTTTCCCTATTCAAGCATCCAATGACAACAAGTACGCTGACAAACTGAAAATCATATTTGAAATTTTCCTTTATTTTCTATGATCTAAATATTTACGTAAATTTTATCCTTTGACAAGTTGAGTACCAAAATCAACCAGTTACAGGTTGGTGGCACATTACCAGCCAAGATAAGTTTAGGTATAGTGATGTACCATATCAGCAAATAATGGGAACAAACAGTACACAAACATTATTACACAACAATCTCTAACGATGTCATCAATGATACTTCCTTACTATAAACCTAAACAAAGACACCAACAAGAGTGCCAACCAATCTTAATAACTCATACAGTATTACACATCAAGCACTTAAAAAACACTATAAAATATATTGAAAATAGACAACACACTGTCTTGAAAGACGAGCACTTCAAGTTAAAAAAATTGCATGAGAGCTATTTGGTTAACTCACACACAAAGAACAAAAATAGTCAAAGATGAGATAATTACCTCATTTATTTCTCCTAAAACCTCCTCTCTCTTGATAGCTTCTTCCTTGCTCTCATAAAGTCCAGCATCGAGCAAGAACTTTCACATCATACACAAATCCAATAACAAAAAAAACGTTCCAATCATAAGCAACAGGAGACGGTTAAGAAGAGAAACGCATTCCACTGATGAAGAGGAGCAATAGAGCATACCTTCTCTAGTTCAATTGTCCTCTTGAGATCTGCTGCGGTAGGCCCAGCAGTCGAGATTGGCTTTGTCAGACCATATTGTCTTGGAGCAGGTGGCGGTTTGCGAACCATTTTATCAGAACTATTCATTCCAAAATGAGGCAAAGGGATAAAATTTTCCTCTTCCACGAAGCGGTTCTAGAATAACTTGAAGCGCATATTTAACAAGAACCGCTTCCAAGAGAAGATAATAGTTAAAGATCTTGAATACAAGAACAGGCGAACAACCACCCTAATACACGACGGATCGTACCTGATATCAGAATTAGAAAGGAAAAGGAAAAATCACTCTTCAGTCGAATCACTAAGGAAGCGAAATCAACTGCGACCGAACCAAACACAAAACCCTAGAGACACAAACCAAGATGACTTCTTGATGAAACAATTCAGACATAATAGGAACGTCAAAGACGCGATGTCCTAACGACGAAATCCAACATATTCTTATAAGCGCTCTTCAATAAGGATGGATGGATCCGCCAAGATTAATACAGAGTAAAGATGAATCTTCATTATTATTTTTTTGGCCTAAATCAGGAGCGACTATCAATCTACCTCACCGCCAATCCTAGAACCGTGGAGGACAGGAACACCGAAACCGGAATCCAAGAAAAAAAAAAAAGAGAGGCCAAGAAAGACGACCTAAAAAAGGGACAAAACCAGAGCGGGAGGCTCCTGCACCGGATCCGCACGGGAGGGCCGAGGCGGCGAAACCCTATAAGCGGAGCCCTGCGCCGCTTCTTGGGGCAGCCGGCGGCGGCGGCGGCGGCAACCCCACACAAGGGAACGGGGGAACCGGAAGGGGCAAGGAAGAAGAGGCGGCGGATCCGGCACGCGCCCTTATCCAGCGGCGATCTCAAACGGTGTCGTCGAGCGGTCGCCAATCGGGGCGAATAGAAGCGGGGCGATGATGGGTGGATGCAATTTATAGGAACCTAATTACGTAACCGACGGGGTATTTTATTTCCGGTGCCCAATTTCTCCTAACCCAATTCCATTAGCATCATTTAACAGTAAGATATTTATTTATACTAATAAAAATATGTATTATACTAATAAAAATATTCATTTAAAAATATTGATACTATAGTTTGTGTTAATATCTCCAGTAATTATTCTTCCGTCGTGCTATAATAAAGTATATTATTTGTCGAGTGATTGACGCATTTATTATGGAGGACTAAAGGTATCATATTTTTGTTCGGTATTAATTAATATTAAGTTGTTAAACTTCCTCAAATTCTTTGAAAGGTATTTTTACCAAAAAAATAATTTAAAATTAACCTTTTATCGAAAAACTAGAGGCATTCTTTTTTACAAAAATGATTTTATCATATATATTATTCAAAAACATCATTACTTTACTCAATTACATGTTTTAATGATATAATATAAATAATTACATAAAGAAAAATAGCTACGCCAATCTTATTTATTGTGCCCTCAGCCGATGTCTCTTTGAGGAACAAAATGAAGTGCCCTATACATAGCAAGATATAAGTAATAAGCTATACGAATTAATGTTAAAACTGTCTTATTCGTTAAGGAGTAAGTCAATAGATCCCAAGATGGGAAAAGGATAAGAATATTATATATTCTTTGAGAACTTTGGACATTCCTTATTCTCGAAAAATTCAACCACGTGTAGTTGACAAAAAAAAGGGTAACAGAGGAACATTAACACGGAGAAGGAAGCATCGAGATAAAAGAAGACTTTATTAGATGATAACTAAAGCTGATAGATGTACTATCTTCCAATATGGTGTCATAATATAGTAAACAACTCAGATATCTTACTAAATATATATATATATATATATAAACTTAACGTAAATAGGCTAATTACAGTTGATCTTACTTATGAAAATATAAAAAATAAAAGACAAAAGGATAATTTGAACGTTCTAATTAATGGTGGCAAATGATGTTTGTGGCATAGAGTCATCGTTATCGATATCGAAATCATCAAGATCTTACGATTGGTTCCCCCACCTACTCTTCAGAACCCTCAACAATGTCTCCGCCTTGCTCTTCTCCCTCGCGCTCACCCCACAGTTACTACTAGCCAGAGCTCTCATGGTCACCTTTACCCCGTCCACCTCCCCGACGTCTTTCACTGTTTTGTCTCTACTACTCTTTACCAGGTTTAGTAGCATAGTCACAACTTTTTTCCTCACCTTTATGCTCTCCATAACCATCGGATGTACCACGACATTGACATCGTCCACCCTTTAAAATGTCTCAACACTCTTGTCATATCTTACCACTTATGCGATTACAATCATTGTGTCCTCTACCACTCCCCTCTACCCGTCCTTCACTACCAGCGTGAAGAGGGGTGGCACGGTGCCCAACTCGACAAGGGTAATACAATTGAGCAGGTAGAGGGCCTTGATCGCACGTTGATGGACTTAGTCGATGCATTGAGAGCGTTAAAGAGGTTCACGAGAGCAACGATGTAAGGCTTTTTTGATCCGATAATGGAGCGATATACTTCAAAGGAGAAGAGATTGTAAAAGGTTACAATAACATGATGGGTGGCTACGGGGGATAAGAGGCAAAGGACAACGACAAGGACATTGAAGATGCCCAGGGTGCACATAAGTGGAGATAGAGAGATCGAGGAGAGCAATGATAATGTTCTCTTGGGCCTCCATCACAGATGAGTGGCGACGGTGGCCACAGAGGAGGCGGGTGGCAAGGAAGGGCACTCATCTTTATGTCTTGCTTCGATAAGCGGTGGATCTCCATGATGGTTTCGGAAGTGGACTTCGATTCTGCAATGACGAGCAACGAAAAGATCGCTTAGCAATTGTGTTGGTGTCGATGCCAGTGACGCTACTATTCGGCACCACCAACGCCATCCGTCACCACAAACTGAAATATTTAAAATATTTTTATTTATTATTTTTTTTTTATATTTTTTTGATAAAATTGATATTATTAAAATAAATAAACCTAAATATTTTAGGTACATAATTTAAAGTGTAAGGATCGTAATATTAAATATAGCTTAGCTGAGGGAATAATATGGAATTAACCACTATCGACACTTACTTATATTATCACTAAAAATAGTGAACATGATATTGTTAATAGTTATAATGTACTTCGGACTAATATAGTTTGTCTATTCAACAACCTTAGTTACACATTGGAGTGACTTAATTTAAGTGCAATGACCCAACAGACCTCACCAAATTAATAAGTCCTCCTCCAAAGAAAATTGCTAGTGATTAAATTTGCATATAAAGTTGGAGGAACTAAATTTGTTGTATTTTCCTAAACTAGTAAAGGCTAAAATTTTATGCAGTGAACGGAGGACTTGCATTTCTATCAGTTCTCATGCATGATAAAGTCAATGAACAATCATATTTTCTTCCCTAAATATGTGAGTAATTTTATATTTATAAAAATTATAATTTCATAACCAATCGAAATATTTGACATAATTTTAGCTTTGAATCTGATTTATTTAGTAAGAAATAACTTATAAAATTCCTAAATTAAAAGGGCATATATGTAAAAGCGTGTTGGGGGGAAGGAGTACGGAAGCTGGAAAACTAGCAAAAGGGAAAAAGAAAGGGGAGCGAAATATAGACACACCCACCACGGGAAGGTGGGCAGCAGAGGAAGAAGACGTGTTTCCGAGGACAAAAAAAGAAAAACAATAAGAAGATAGATAGATAGATAGATAGATCAGATGTAAAGGAGCGGTGTTGCAGTAGCCCCTTTACTTTCCCGAATCCTCCCAATTATTTCCCCCTCTCTCGGTGTCTCTGTCCCTCTCTCGGCCTCTGTTGAAGTGATCAGCACAACTGACTAATAAGCTCGCCCCCTTTCGACTCAAAGCTGCAGCAGCGATTCCAGTGTCGTTCGGTGCGCCTCCGCCTCTTGCGTCTCTGGATCCGTCGCCATAGTTTGTCCCTTCTGCCTACCGCACCGCGTGTGCTCGCTGAATCCGCCTCTTTGAAACCCTAGATTGGGTGGAGTGATCGGCCAAATTGAGGAGGAGGAGGAGGAATAGAAGGGTGGGGAGGAGAGGGAAGGTGGGTGGGGTGCATTAATTATGAGGGTGCCGTGCTGTTCCGTGTGCCACTCGCGGTATGACGAGGAGGAGAGAGCCCCCCTCCTCCTCCACTGCGGCCACGGCTTCTGCAAGGCCTGCCTGTCCAAGATGTTCGCTGCGTCCGCCGACACCTCCATCTGCTGCCCCCGCTGCCGCCACCCGACCGTCGTCGGCAACAGCGTCCAGGCCCTACGCAAGAACTTTCCTATACTCTCCCTGCTCGCCTCCTCCCCTTCCTCCCCGTCCTTCGATTACGACTTCACCGATGACGATGAAGATGATGGCGGAGGAGGAGGCGACGGCGAGGAGGACAACGAGGAGGACTACTTTGGTTCCGGCGGTCGGTGCAGGAGGACCGGCTTCTCTTCCCATCCCTCGGTGTCGGGTTGCTGCTCTGCCTCCGGCAGCAGGGCTGCCTCCACCTCCGCCATCGATCTTGGGTCTCACCATGACCTCAAGCTGCTCAGGAGGCTCGGAGAGGGCCGGAGGGTGGGGTACGAAGTTTGGTCGGCCTTGCTGTCTATGGGTTCCTCTTTCTCCTCGGGTCAAAATGGTCGGAGGTGCCGGCACCAGGTGGCGGTGAAGCGGGTGGCAATCACGGAGGACATGGATGTGGTGTGGTTGCAGAGCCGGCTGGAGAGCCTGCGCCAAGCCTCCATGTGGTGCAGGAACGTGTGCGCATTTCATGGTGTGAAACGGATGGATGGACACCTTTGCCTCGTTATGGACAAGTTCAACAGCTCCATCCAGTCAGAGATGCAGCAGAACAAAGGCCGTCTTACGTTGGAGCAGATACTCAGGTTCTTATCTTCTTATTATGCTTTGAGTGAACTAATAAAAATGCACATTAACCAAGCACGCATAGAAGTTTCTTTGATGTGTGGATTTAGGGCTCTTATACATCAGCTACGAATAATGTTGATATCTGTACTTAACTAAGATATGGAAAATAAAAAAAAACGAAACCTATCATCACTAGGGATTGGTGAGAAGGCTTTGAAAGCCTTTTGCTTTCCTAATTCAAATCAGGAATGTATTCAGAAGGTCATTTTATGTTCCTATTTTTACTATGATTGGACTGCCGTTTCCTATTTTCACTATGTAGGCCTCTCACTTTGATTAGTAGTTTTCTGTACCATGCTGGAGTAGACCCAGATCCAACCAAACTGGATTCATATTGGCTGAATCCTTCTAAGCAACATATTGAAGGTTGCAACCAATTATCCCAGTCCGAACCAAGGTGAACGGTCCTATATTTTGTCCTTTTTGATAGCCCATATTGCTGTCTAAGGGTGACCAGACCTTGGCTATGCTCTGGACTGATGGAGGTTATGAGCTCTGATAACACCATAACATTTTCATGTAAAAGGAACCATGTATTATGAACATGAATTTTCATCCTTGAAGATTCTTATAAATTTAACAGATCAGTATGAATGCAATGCACATGCAGCCTAGTTGACAGTCATTTAGTAATACGCTAAACTTTGATCAACAAATGGAAGCACCACAATTAATCATATGTTTTTCCATATCTTCCCTGTAAACCAACACATATTTATTTTGATCATTTGCTATAATACTTAGTTTGAAGTCTCTCGTATCACATTGATGAGTTGTTCGTTTTCGATCTCCCTAGTTGTGACATCCAATTGTTTAGAGGTTGTGGTCTCTCATGCTTATGCCTTTTATTAATTGCAGGTATGGGGCAGATATTGCCCGTGGTGTGGCTGAGCTCCATGCAGCAGGTATTGTTTGTATGAATTTAAAGCCATCAAACCTTCTTTTGGATGCAAGCTGCCGTGCGGTGGTCTCAGATTATGGGCTTCCGGCTATTCTAAAAAGACCTACATGCCGGAAAGCTCGATCTGTTCCTGAGGATTGCCCTTCAAGTTTGCATTCATGCATGGACTGCACAATGCTAAGTCCGCATTACACAGCACCAGAGGCATGGGAGCCATTGAAGAAATCACTAAATATATTTTGGGACGACGCAATTGGTATATCTCCAGAGTCAGATGCTTGGAGTTTTGGATGTACGCTTGTTGAAATGTGTACTGGCTCTGTCCCGTAGGTGGTCTAAACCATTTCCTTTGTTCCTCGTTGCATATTTCCCATTAAATGGTGCATTAAGGTGTTTTTATGCAGATGGGCTGGCCTAAGCGCAGAAGAGATCTATCGGGCTGTTGTAAAGGCACGGAAGTTGCCTCCTCAGTATGCCAGCATAGTGGGTGTCGGAATTCCTAGAGAGCTTTGGAAGATGATTGGAGACTGTCTGCAGTTCAAGCCTTCAAAGAGACCAACTTTCCATGCAATGCTAGCAATATTTCTTAGGCATTTGCAAGAAGTTCCTCGGAGTCCTCCTGCTAGTCCGGATAAGTAAATATTACAACTGCTGATGTTCAATAGTAACAGTTAAATATAACCGTGTACATATAATAAATTATCTCTAGTCTTACAGTTTTGTTGTTATCGTTGCATATTAAATTATCTCTAGTAATTTCCCTCTTGTGATGCTGAAGTCCACTATAAATTGAAGAAATAAGAATGGACCTTATATTAGAAAATAGTAAACAATTTAGAGCATAACATATGACAGTTTGGTTCTGAAAGGTGGCTATTAATTATGGACTGAAGCTTAACATTTCCCTCCTTGACTCTCCTCTGCTGAATAGGAATAATTGTTTTGGTCCCTCATTGCATGTTTTTAACTACAACGGTTTAATTCGCATATATTCATGCAGATTCTTCTCTTTACAAAATTATCTTGGCCAGAATTTGCTCAACTTCATTAATACTGGTAACAGACAACTGGATAGTCAATTTTATCACAGCCTTTTTCTGCATTCTTTCTATTGTGATGACCTTTCTTTTTAGCTACCATATATTTTCAAACAAAAAGGCTTGGTTATGCTGATGACAATGAACTTAGGCTACAGAATACATTTATGAATCACTTGTCCAATGCCATGCAACTGATTCCCTGTGACTTCCCCAGTCCTACGTGAGGATCTTTTATGTTTTTTTTTTCTTCAATTCCCATGTCAGGCGAATTTATTCTCAAAAAGTAATACAAGTTCATTTATATTTATCAAAGTTTTTCATATCCTATCTGCTTCCCACAGTGATTTTGCAAAGGCTACTTCAACAAATACCATGGAACCTTCCCCGACATCTGTTTTGGAGGTTTTCCAGGGTAATCCAAATGATTTGCATCAACTTATATCCGAGGGAAACTTTTCTGGTGTTAGGTATGTCAAAGGTCTTGAGATTCTTCCTATAGTGATTATCAATTTAATATGTTCCTCTGTTGTGAGGATTTACATTTTTCTTTCTTTTGTGATAGTGATCTGCTTGCCAAGGCTGCATCAGAAAAGAACAACTCAGTTGGTTCTCTTTTAGAAGCACAGAATGCAGATGGACATACTGCCCTGCATTTAGCATGTAAGCGGGGTTCTGTTGAGCTTGTGAAAACCATTTTGGCATTCAAAGAAGCTGACGTGGACATCTTAGATAGAGATGGTGACCCTCCAATCGTGTTTGCTTTGGCTGCTGGTTCTCCAGAATGTGTCCGTGCTCTGATTAGTAGATCTGCAAATGTTAGTTGTAGGCTGAAAGAGGGTCTTGGTCCATCTTTAACCCATGTTTGTGCTTTTCATGGCCAACCCGAATGCATGCGGGTAGGTCATATGTCATACTTCAGGGCATGGTCTTTTTGTTTCGTGGACATTTCCTCAATTAAAAAACTCCTTTAAACTTTTGCAGGAATTACTTTTGGCAGGAGCTGATCCAAATGCAGTGGATGATGAGGGTGAATCGGTTTTGCATAGGGCCATTGCAAAAAGATTTACTGATTGTGCTATTGTCATTTTGGAGAATGGAGGCTGTAGATCAATGAGTATTCTGAATGCGCAGAGGAAAACGTAAGAATTTCCAACTGCCTTATTTTTTGAAATGTTCTATTTTTTAAGGCTGAAAGCACTTACCTGTATTTTCTGGACATGCACAACTACTTTTCTTATAATGACTCATGCATTATGTTCAGGTTTATATGTTTAATTTGTTTTTTCAATCCTGATTATGTCTTGGTAAAATTGTTGCTAAGCTGATGTTTACATGCTAATATGATTTCCATAAATCCAGCCTGAAAAACATATCAGTGGTTTGTGTCCTTTGCAGATTGATGATAGTGCACTGTGCACCAGATTATGAATCATAAATGGTGTTGTACATTTCTTTATCTGAGTGGTCATATAGAAGCCTTCCCTGCTGGTGCGTATTATTTAATGGAACATGCAACTCATAGTTGATGTAGGACTAGAAATGGAAAGAGTGCTTTGGCTAATTGATGGTAGTGCACCACATTAAAATTTCACCTAAATGGAGCTGCACACTTCTTTATGCAAGTTGTCATTATAGAAGCCCTTCCTAGTACTAGTAGCATGCATTTATTTAAGGGAACATGTAACATATAGTTGTAGGACTAAGAACAGAAGAGTGCTCCATTAACTGTTTGATATGGAACAATATGTGACAACTAGTAGCATGTATCACTTCAGCTTTGGCTGATTTTGGATCTGTAGGTTCTGAGCTTCAATTTTCTGCTAGGGTTCAGGGTTTTAGGGATTTTTTAATTGTGAGTTGGGGTTTTGGAGGATTAGAAGTGAATAGGAGAGAATTTGGGGTTGTTGTTGGGAAAAGATAGTACTCGGTCCTTTTTTGGTTCCTAATATAGTTCTTGGTTTTAACACTAGTTGCCCCTCTCACATGGATGATGAATCACACCAATAGGGGAGATACTTCCTTTTTATAATTTTATTGTAAACCTCAATATCGTTCCTAGTTCGTGGAGAATTGGTCTTTATATAGGGTTACAAATATGCTTTAATAAAATTCATCTATTTGAAGTCTCATGAAGAGGGACTTCTAGAACTTTCAGTAATTTTTCACGTACTAGCTTTAGGGTTTTTGCAACCCCATATGCACCTAAAATAGGACTCAAAACTGAGATATCAACTCAAAATATGACAGACATTTTCTAAATAGCAATTGAAATTCAGACCTAAAATTCATTTAAAAAATACTAAAAAACACTTGTCTCAGAGCCTGTTTTAATCGAAAGTCATCTAACGCATATCATGGTTTATCATGAGTTTCTTATATATCAATTGTTGTTGCCTTGAAATAGATTCTTTCTTTTGTTGGCCTTTCACTTTTACTTTCTGTAGAGATGTGGTAGTAGAAGTCGAACTATTTCATCAACATAGGCTGTTGCCTTGTTTTGAGTCATATTGTGGTCAATTTCTTGCTGAGTTTTTATTAAGCTTTCTTTGTTTTTGTTGTTTTCAATTTCTACATAAAAATTTTAAACCATTCAATATTTTGCAAGTTTTTAAAAGCAATATAAAGTTTTGTTCTGTATTAGCAATATTATACTTTTTGACATGAGATGCTCTTGTTATAAATTGGTTCTTAAAATTTCATGATAAACATAATTTAGGACTTCCTGATGGGGTTTTGTATATATTATCCATAATGGGAGTCATAGCTTTTTTATTGTTGCTCATCTTTTTTATGAATAGACCTTTGCATATGTGCATTGAGACATGGAATGTGGAGGTGGTGAAGAAATGGGTTGAGGTGGCATCACAAGAGGACATAGATGAAGCCATAGACATATCAAGTCCCAATGGAACAGCATTGTGCATGGCTGCAGCTCTTAAGAAAACTCGTGAAAATGGTAATTTCCATTTTATAAACTATATTATGCTGCTTTTCTAGCTTTTCTACTATAATTGAATCTTCTCTATTGGAATCTTAATAATTTAGAAAAGCTTCTTGGTCAACAGAATGGAACACTGTAACAAATGGTGCCAGTAAAGGATGGATGATCTTTGTTTTTGAACTATAGGAATTTAAACTAGATTGCTTCTTGGGGTATATAGGAATTTAAACACAGCAATGTTGTCCATTGCTGAGGACAAGCAGGGGTCAGATGTCTTAAAGTTGTATATTTGCTTACTGGTTTCACGGGCATAATCTTCTACGGAACTGGACTTCTTTCATAAAGTTAGGCATCAAATTTCACTTGTACATCAGTTATGAAAAGAAATTGAGCACTAGCACATGCTGTGACTTGTTGCAACTGGTTGGCGTGGCGCATGCCAGACAACAATGAAGTCAGTAAGTTGCTACACTTGCCAGTGGTTCTTCTAGGTCAGCTTGTTTATATATGCCTTTTGGTGGCACAACATAGTCAATGGTCTTTGTGGCTGACAGCGAGTAATGGGTGCTATAGACCACACAACTAAATATAAAAGGATTTTTTATACTATCAAAATGAATCATTTAATTTATTAAAACAGAGATCCAAATTCTAAATGTTCATAGAGTCTAATACATATGTTTTATGTAAAAGTGGATGCATACAATATCAATGTATCAAAATGAAACATGATTGTCACCAACAATGTTAAATCACATATTTTAATAATAATATTAAAATATCACACATTCATACTGTAGTCTCCCATCATTTTATTATATCACTACCAGAAGAAATTAGATACCATCCATTATATGGAGAAAAAAGAAAGATATGGCAAATGAGAATCAAATGTTATAATCTGTTATGGTGTGGCCTATTCCCTGGGCATAGTCAGGGCTTTTTTGGCCTCAAATCAGACTTCCCAACTGTCAGAAAGGCTCAAATAAGGGCATACATAAACTGGGTTAGTCTTCTGTGGCTTGTTATTGTACAAGGCATCCATTCTGTAGAATTGGGCCCAAAGGAGCTTGATCTAAGTTGGTGTGAGCCTGGTCCAGTTAGGTTCACGAGTGTCTCAGCCAGATGGAACTCCTACATGGATTTAGAGGTCTATATTTCTTTAGAAGGAACTGGACAGTGCAATTCTAGTTAGAGTGAGAGTGGATGGAGCAAGGCTTTTGATGCTAGTTCACACCTTGGCTGATGGGCAGCCAGTATTATATGTGATACTGATTGGTAAAAGGAAGTATACTGGGCGTATCAATGGGACAAGCAATAACATATATTAATGGAAATAGAAACAAGGATGCAGACCAGATCTCTTTCCCCTGAAATAGAATCCTTCCTCATTCATCGTCTTCCTTGCTTCGTATCTTATCTTTTTTTTTTCCCTTGCATCACATTGATTGGTGATCAACCAAAAGTAATCAAAGAATTTAGGACTGCTTGCAACCCATAATAGAGGCAATTATTATGATTTTGAAACAATTGAAGGATTCAGTGTAATAGTTGAAGAGGTTTTGGTCTGATTTGGTGATGAATTGAACAAGACATGCCATTACTACAGTTTTGTGCAGTTTTTATGAAACTGGGCAGTCAGCTGCAGACCAAGAACACCTGTTCAGTAAGTATAAGGCTAGGTTCCATTCGCCAACCAGAACCAACCAAGTGGTCCTATTATGTTCTAGAAGTCTTGATCTCTTATGATGCCTTTATGCATTTGGCTGCATCCAAAAAGCCACTTTCTAGTTACTGCTTCAAATGGGTTATTCTTTCACCTCGACCTACTTGGTCACGATGAATGCATTATCAATGATGGTAATGCTCCAAACATTGAGCGTGTTGCCATGTTATCGGAGCATTGCTGATCTGTGACCATTTTACTATAAAATGATGTCAATCTTATTCAGATCCACAGACCATAAGATACAAATTTGATTTTCAAAAGTGAAGGTTAGATCCGTTAAAATTAAAGCTAGGTATATGCACATCTATGCTAGATCTGCATATATCAAGCCTTGAAACTTGTAGATTTAGGATAGATCTGGATGGATCTAGCCTAAAATCTTGAAAATCCAGGCTTGATCTATATGGATCTATTCTAGATCCTCATGGATAAAGCCTTAAATTTGCGAATATAATGTGGATCTAGTCTAGATTTGTGAAGATAGATCCGTGAGGATGAAGATTTTGTTCTTGTGAATATAGCCAGATCTTGGCTTTATTTTTTTGTGGATCTAGGCTAGATCCACAAGAATGAAGCATCGATCCCCACAGACCTAGCCTAGATTTGTAAGGTTCCAGGCTTGATATTTGTGGATCACCCACAAATCGGTTAAGGTAAAGTGTCTAAATACTAACCTAGTTTCATAAAATAACTGATAGCAATAAATCCTAAACTAATTGCAACCATATAGAGAGTGATTATATTAAAACTTAAAAGATTATACTCAAATTTATCCAATTTTTTGTGAAAATATGGTTCAGAACTTGGGATTGAACCTTCTACTTGTTGAAATTAAGCCACCCCTTGGTGATTGGAGTTTGGGGGAGAAAATGGGTGACATTTGAAAGGGATTGAAAGAGGAAATGAGAGGAAATGAGACTGAAGGGGAAAGTGGCAGGGCTAAAAAGAAGCCATGGATCTCTTTTGGATCCAAGAACCATACGTGAGGTTACGGTCTGGTAATAGTGAAAGAACCAGGTGAAGGACCGGTGTTGGCCTAGTTCATGTGCAGGTTCAGGGGCAGACCAGTGAAAGCCTAGTGATATGTACATGTCTGCTTGGTTTTTTGAACCCTAGATGTGCAATAAAATTTACATATTTTTTAAGCTTGGTGAGTGCCTTTTGCTGCTAGCATCTACATTCTCTCATCTTACACCTTCCCATTTCCAAATTTGTCTTTACTTTCTTCTCTTTGTATTTTCCCGTTCTTCTTCTCCTTCTAGCTTGTTGCCAAGGAAACCATCAGATTATTAGATTTTCTATCTGCCATCTTCAGCAGCCACTCAACCAATCAACAAAGCTTAGGCCTTCTGCTGCACAAGATTTTCAGGCAAATTATTGGGTACAATTTTTTTATTGGTTAGTTTTATTAGATAATGTGCTTCAGTTTTATTAGATTTCTAGAAGGAAGATATTCTTGGACTATATAAATTATGAAACAAAAATATTTTTCTAATGACTAGCATATTGTGGATCAAGAGGCTTTCTGCAGGTTATTATTTTTGGCTAAAATATTGTCGGAGTCTTTATATAAATACAAATTTGCTCTAGTAGTGGGATTCATTATTTTATTTTAATTACTTGTAAATACATGATTGTGGCCTTAGGGACTTAGTGTTGTAGATTTGAATTAAGATGGATTTCTGAGTCATGAAAAATTTACATGAAGAATAAGCCATTATCTACTTGCATTCTGCCATGAACATGTACAGCATATTCAGGTTTAAGTGTATGGTTTATGCTATTTGATAATCATACCCTTTTGGTAATTTGGAATAGGATCCAGATTTACTAGAATTTTTTAAAAAAGGAGCACATTAAAAATTTCTGGAGTTATAATGAGGAATTTGAAGATAAAAAAAATGATTGCTTTGGTGGTAACTTGGAGATAGCATTCATTGAAGATGAAATGCATTATTGATATTCTTGGCATGTCTGATTGCGGAAGACCTTATTACTATGTATTAGAAGGTAACACGATTATATTCAAAAAAGACATGGAGGGGAAGTAAGACTAAAGACAACTTGATATCGAAAAGAGAGGAAATGTAGACCTTGGTTGGTCTGAGGTTGTTGTCCTTAATAAGCTAAATGGATAGAAATGATCCACTTGGTTGACTTGAACAAGTTGCAATCAGTTTTGTGTTTTTCATTGTCGTTTTTACTGCTGCTATTGCATTAATGTTGCCCTTGTCCTTGTGGAAGCCATACTAAATTTTCTGAAAAATATAATCATCTTCTGGTGGTCAATTGAGCTTGTTTCCCATTAACCAACAAATAATGTACTATCCAAGAAGTTTGGTTGTGTGATTTTGCAGGATGAGCAATTGTCTGTGATGGTAGAAGACGACAAACCAAGGCTGAGGCATGCACAACATTTAAAAAAAAGAGTGCTAGATCCTCTTTTTTATAAAATGGAGTGCAATGACAACAAAGCCACAAAATCCCAACTACTTGGGATCGGCTATGGATCTATTGTTGTCATTGTGCTATGAAAAAAAATCATATCAATTGTTAAGTTAAACATATTTAAATTTTTATTTATAGTTTATAGTAAAGTCTTTTGAAGTTTCCTTCCTCTCGTCTCCTTGTACCACTATTACTACTAATAGTAATTTTTGTTTCACCTCTTTATAAATGAAATACACCCTGAACTATTTATAGTTTCACTACTAACAGTATTTAAATGTCGTGCATCTTCAAAATTTGTAATAGTCACCATAAATTGGATGCACTTGATACTTGGCTCCTTGCCTGTATACTAGCGATTTCAATAGGCGCTCGGGCGACGCCTCGCCTGAGCGCCTCGGTTCATGTCCAGGCAGCGCGCTTCAAAGAGGCGTCGCCCCGAAGCGCCCAGTGCCTGGGCTCGGGCGAGCGCCTGGTTTAAACCAAGCAACCTCGGTGCTTTAGTTGGTTCAATCAAACCAACTAAAGCACCGATATCAGCTCCCAGCATCCTTCTCGCGACTTCCCCAACCCTAACCCTGCTCACGATTTTATCGTCGACATTTCCTCTCCGGTGCTGTTGCTCTCTGCTGCCACTGTCACTGTCGCTACTCGCCGCTACCACTATCGCTGCTTGTCGCTCCTGCTCCCGCTCCTGTTGTCGTTGCTCGCTGCTACCACTACTACTGCTCTCTCTACCGTTGCCGTTGCTGCCACTACTGTCGCTGTTTGCCACTGTCGTCGCTCCCGCCCTCGCTGTCGCTGCCTTCTTACTCTTACTCATTCTTCTCACATCGACTCGATAGTATACTGTTAACAATATATTAACAATATACTGTTAACTGTATGCTAGTAACCGTGTTTTTTTATTTATTAGATTAATAATATATTATTTTGATTTTAATACTGTTAATTTTTATTTATTTAAAATTATTGTTATTGTTTTGAATTTTGAGACTTTTTGCTAATGTGATATTATGATTTTGTAAGATTTTCTTAATTTAATATCATATTTTTATTTTAAAACTTATGTTTATTAATTATATTATATATATTTATATTTTAGCATCTCGTTTCGCTCAAGCGATCGCCTAGCGCCTCGGACGTTTTTGGACCTTGGCGCCTAGCGCACCATTCTTATCCTTAGAAGGCTTTTAGGAAGTCTAATTTATAATGCGAGATAAGATCTTTAATCAGTGGAAATCCTTAAGGGAAAACCAAATGTGGGCAATTCTTTTTTGTCTGTATGCCCTTAAGCTTTACTGAAATCTACTTTAAGTTTGTCAATTGGTTATGATAAATAGAAAATGATATTAATTGGATGGAGAATTTGCTAATAGCGTTCACACTTAATCAGTTTTCTATCTTCTCTATTTTCCTTCTTTTCTTTTGTAACGTCCTGCTTTTAATATATTTAGAAAAACTCCCATTCTGTTCATCCAATGTGATTGATCTAACTTATTTAGCCTTGTCTCAGCATCAAATTTTAGTGTTTATCCCGATATGGATCCTAGTTTCCTTGCTCCAAACTAATTACTAAAACAAGTATTCAGCAGAACTATTGATCCCTGAATAGGTTCTGTCAGCTTTTATATAACTTTTACATAGGTGTCTCAGTTAAACTAGAGTCTCTAATTAATTCAAATTCTAGTTCTATCATCTCCTTTGAAAAGAAATAAATTATTTTATGGCTTAAATTGGAGTTTTAATCATTCAAGACAGCTGGGACTGCATCACCTTTTTTTCCGTCTACGTTTCCTAGCTTTCTGACATAGAGGTGAAGAAGGTCAAGTCTAAGGCCTTAATAATCAATGATGCACAAGGCTTAATTTGAATGAAAGGTTGTGGTGGATATTCTAGTACAAAGAAAGGAGATCATAGTTTTTCCTTTCAGGAGTAGGCAGGGCAAGCTATAGATTAGTATGACAGTCCTTTCTATTGTCAACTTCTGTATGCTAGAAAGTTTTTGACTTAATTTTATGACACTAATAATTTGGTTTCTTAGTCTCTCACTCTAGCTTTGGCAGCCTCTAACATCATGTGGCTGAGGCTATGATCCATCTGTCTGTGGAAGTTTGGCCCTATGGAACACCAAATGCACAGGAAAAAGTTAGAGTTTTCTTCCCTTGTCAAGACTTGATAGATATTTTATCCATTATATTTGACGCACTGCTTTTCTTATCTGTGTTCTTTTTTCTAAAACAATATGTTTTTGTATGTTCTTGTATGAACTTAATTCTTATTTCTCTTTAAACGCATTTAATTGTCCTATTTAGAATGTTGTGTTTCTTCTGGAAATGTAAGAGAACCATAAATATTTTTCGTTTGCATTCTTTCTCTTAGATGCTCTTCGTACTGATCAGCTTTGTTTCATGTTAGGAATGCACTAAAACTTTTTTTTATATAAGAATTAGTGTGAGCTTTGAGATGCTTGTGTCATATTAACATTAATTAACTGGTTGGGAACCTTTTGACAGAGGGTCGGGAACTGGTTAGAATATTGCTCACTGCCGGTGCAGATCCCACAGCCCAAGATGAAATGCACTTCCGGACAGCTTTGCATACAGCAGCGATGATCAATGATGCAGAGTTAGTGAAGGTAACATAGGCCTATCCATAGTTTTAAATTTGATTAATGTTAACTAAATAATAGTTACACATTTTACATTTGTTGCTTTTAGTGTTTCTTGGATTAAAAAAAAGGTTTCTTGGATCAATACTAATATTTAGTGCCCTGTTATTACTTATGGCTAGATAATTCTGGAAGCTGGGATTGATGTGAACATAAGAAATGCCCAAAATACAATACCCCTCCATGTTGCACTAAATAGAGGTGCAAATTCATGTGTTGGTTTGCTTCTAGCTGCTGGAGCAAACTGTAATTTGCAGGTATTATGACTACTTCCTAGTTTAGTTTATAATGAAGTTACTTCCTGTATAAGTTTTCAAATATGCTCTTTATATCTGAGCACTTCATTTTGCAAGTAAAAGATTTACTTCCAATATCTCAACATCTTCGTAGAAGCTTTGTGGACAAGTTTTCCTATAGTTAATAAATTTCTTTGACAGCATAATTTTGACACTGTTCAGCATCTCAAAAATTGTCTTTTGCATATCTTACAATGATTCTGACTAGATGATGTTCTTCTATTTCCTTTTCATCTTTAGACAATTTTGACTAGTCAAAAGTTCAGAAATGAACAGTTTAAGGAGTCTCAGTTCACCAAGTTTGATGGTTTCAATTGTTTTTTAGTGCTTCGGTTGAAAAAGAACAGAAAAATGGCAAAGATGAGATAAAGGTAAGGTATTTGTCAAATGGCTCATCAGACAAGTGATCTGGATACAAGTGAATTGAGTATCATATTCTGAAATATATAAGAGAAACTGCTTTCACCAATTAGGTTGCTCTTCCCAGCCGTGGCAAATGGTCTGGGTTAAAAAAATAGTGAATATTGATGCCAGACAAACTTTTGCCACCATTGTCTCCCAAGGGGAGCAATGTTGAAGTCACAACTCTTTTAGATTGAATTCAAATAAATTATGGTTTATGTTTTAGAGTATACAATTAAGGTTTCAAGTTTCAAGAATTTAAGTACCCTCCCTTATGAGTAGATTACTTGTCTTTCTAAAACATGCATAACATAGAATCCTTCTTTCATCAGACATTTGAGAAAATGGTGGAGAGAATAAAATTGACCAAGGCAACTCTGGATCCACGGGAATGGAATTTTCTTTCTATTCATCTTGTCCATAATCAAATTCTTCAGTAATAGGTTACTTTACAATTTTGCGCAAGTATTTAGTTTTGATTGTGTCATCTAATATATTTGTGGGTGAGAAGGATAAACTGCAATGCAAAAAGTTGTTCGAGATGTCTGTAATTTGGGTTGGACCTACCCTTACATGCTTTAGAATTATCATAGTTACATTTTGTGGCATCTATCGTTGAAATTTGTTTGTACTAATATACTAATCTGGCTGAAATTCATCAGGATGATGATGGTGACAATGCCTTCCATATTGCAGCTGATGCAGCAAAAATGATACGTGAAAATCTCAACTGGATTGTTGTAATGCTGCAGTACCCATCTCCCGATGTTGATGTGCGAAACCACAGGCAAGGGCTGACCCTGTAACTTAGTTGAATCCTCTTGCTGTTTTATGGTCAGATTAATGCCTTGTTCTTGTGGTTCTCGTATAAATTGTTTCAGCAAAAGAAGCATAGAACTTGTTGACTCACTTGTTTTCTGCATTGCCTACTTGATTATATGATCAGTTTGTTATTATCTTACTTTAGGGCCCTTAGTCGTTGTTTGATCCTCATAAATCAATAATCTTTTAAGTAATTATGCTTCCATTATCTTGGCGTAAAGGTTGATACAATATCATTTTAGCTTTAATTTTCAGCAAATAAGTACTTCCTTATTTTGAGTGGAAAGGTCCAAACCAAAAAGAACATTCTGGTTTGTACTGTTGATACAGGGGCTGGACATTGCGTGATTTTCTTGAGGGCCTGCCTCGAGAATGGATCTCCGAAGCATTGGTGGAAGCACTCCTGGACAAAGGAGTTCATCTCTCTCCAACCATGTATGGTGAAAGTTCTTGGTCTTTTAAATTCTGTGACTAGATATATTTCCATGTATGTCAGAATAAATTATTTGTATATATTCTAACAATCATAATTGAATGCTTTATTTAATTGTACCTGTAATGTTTAATTGATATCTGATACCATTTTAACAGATATCAAGTTGGGGACTGGGTGAAATTCAAAAGAAGTGTTGAGAATCCAACATATGGTTGGCAGGGTGCAAATCACAAAAGCATTGGTTTTGTCCAGACTCTCCTGAATAGTGACAGTTTGGTTGTATCCTTCTGCACTGGAGAAGCACATGTTTTGACAAACGAGGTTATTAAGGTGATTCCGTTAGACAGAGGACAGCATGTGAAGCTAAAGCCTGATGTTAAAGAACCAAGGTACATCTGAATATTCTAGGCATCAATTTTGACTTGACTTATCGATGTTGCCATATAATTCTGCATGAGAATTTGAACTGAGTTGACTTTATGGATTAAAATTCTCGGTTTCAATACCAATATTAGTTCGGTTTGGGGTGTCCTATTGATACTTGGTATGAGTCGGTACCTGCTGGTATGGTCCAGATCAGGCACAAAGCAAGATGAGGAACTGGAGGCGGTGGAGGAGGAAGAGGAAGAGGAAGAGGAAGAGGAAGAGGAAGAGGAGGCATACCCATAGGAGGAAGTGTTTATGTTGCAGCAAGAAGGAGAAGATGAGAGACTAACAAAGAGAATGAAGATGGGTATTGGTACCACGTAAAGCAAGACAGACTAACAAAGAGAAGAAGAAAAGCAAGACAGTCGTGATATTTGTAAAAAAAAAAAATTAAGATGGGTATTTGTACCATGTGGTAGACTTATTGTTCGCCATAGGTCTGCTTACTGCATGCAAGTCCAACATGGTGAGTTTACCAGGTGGCTTAGTCCTTCCCGGACCAAAGTAGGCAAAATCTTTCGGCTCATATCTTGGTTGGTTGCTAGACCGTTAAATACTGGCTTCTACCAATCAGTTTGGGAAGTATTTTAACCATGGTTTACTCTTGAGATTTCAACTCTTTTTTAATTCTTTTTATCCACATTAACTTTGTTAACTTTAACTATTCTGGGTCATGTGATGCAGTAAAACTTTGCTAATGTTGAGTCAGCCAAACAAGGTCAAGGACTGTAGTTGTATATGTTTGATGTTACAAACACAATCAAGTTTAATGAGTTCATCTTCTTTTTTTATCAGCTAACTGAAGAAATACATAGCAGAAATGAATGCTTCAATTCAGGGTTTGCTGTACTTATGCATACCGTCCAATAGGGGTGGTACATATTGGTTCGATAGGATACTGATACACAGACCACCATCTACCGGGCGGTATCGGTCACTTAACCTCGTATCGGGCGATACGGGGTCTGTACCAGGCGATGACAATCGAAATCTGATCGTTACCAATCTGTACCAATCGGTAATGGTCGGATTTCGATTGTTACCGATCAAGGGCTGAGATTGTCCTATTTCAAATGGTTAATTTGATCGTTTGAGACTTAGAAAAGGGTTTTTTAAACCCTTTCCTCACTATTTCGACTCATTTCATTCTTTCAATCTCTTATACTCAAACTCTTTCACTCATATCTCTCTTTTATTCTCATATTTTTACTCTTCTAAACTCATCAAAACTACAATTTGTGGATTGGATCAAATTTAGGAGGCTAATTTGGGAGGATTAAGAGGAAAAATACTCTAATCAAGAGGCTAATTTGAGGGTGGTGCATGGACCGAGGAGCAGAATTTTACACATGCCACTCAAGATTCAGATCATGGAACTCGACGAGGTACTGATCAAGTTTATGCATGAAAGGGAAAGGAGAGGCCAGTGGATGATTTTTAATAGATACGCTAGAGCCTTCATGACGTAGATATAGAGCGAAGCTCATCATATTCACAGTCGTCGTATTATGGAGAATCTTATGGCCAACAACAATATGGTGATAGTTGGTCATACTCAGTGATTTAAAAAGCACTAGGCGTCAAGGTCCAAAAACGCCCGAGGCGTTAGGCGCTCGCCTGAGCGAAACGAGACGTTAAAATATTAAAATATATAATATAATTAATAAATATAATTATTTAACAATATTAAAATCAAAATAATATATCATTAATCTAATAAATACAAATACATTACTGTTACTAGTATACAGTATATTGCTAACAGTATTCAGTATACCGTTAACAGTATACAGTATACTATTAACAGTATACTTTCGAAAGAGAAGGAAGAGGAGTGTAAGGGAAGATCGAGGGTGCAACGACAGCGGTAAAAGTGAGCAGCAGCGGCGACATCGGCAACGGGAGCGAGAGCGGCGAGCGGCGATAGCAGTAGCGGGAGCGACGACAGCGGCAGTGGCAGCGAGCAGCGACGAGCAGCAGGAGTGTGAGCGGTGAGCAGCGGGAGCAGGAGCGGCGACAACCGCAGCGACGGTAGCGTGAACGCGAGCAAGGTTAGGGTTGGGCAGCGATAGCTGATATCGGTGCTTTAGTTGGTTCGATTGAACCAACTAAAGCACCGGAGACCGAACCAGACCTAAAATGCTGGTTCGGTCGTGTGGTTTAACCCAGGCGCTCGCCCGAAGCGCCCGGCGCCTGGGCTCAGGCGAGCGCCTCTTTGAAGCGCGCCGCCTGGAAGTGACGCGAGGCCCTCGGGCCTCGCCTCGCCCGAGCGCCTATTGAAATCATTGGTCATACTTTTTCGAGCAACAGTATGATGATCGATCTGACGATACGGAGCAACATATCACTAGCGAGAGTAGAAGTTATGACATTCTCTATGCTCCACACTAATACATGTCACATTCATCGTTGCCTCAAGACCCGCTTCGGACACATATAGTTCATGAAGATCAGACTATGACCATCACTACATTGATACACCAATGACATACGATGTATCAATACACTGTCGTGGGACCAATTTCAGGATTGGGTCCGACAAACATATCACATTGATATACTGATACATAGGATGAAGGATCTCGATCCACCACCTATGGAGTCTCGTTTTTTTTTGGTAGAACTAGGTGCATCCATTGATTGATTATTGAATTCATTTGAATCTTAAAATTTAAGTTGTATAAAAAATAATATATTAATTCAAATAATTTTTTATAGATAATTTAATATTAATGAAAGGACGATTTAGAGTGTATCACAAAGTTACTTTTCAAAGCCCGAAAATATGTGACATTATTCTTTCCTAATTTACATTATTTTTGCTAAAATTGTATTAAATTTATACTTATGTCTAACTTAAAAATCCTAATCTAATTTTTCTCTATTTTCTAAGTATTTTTGGAGGGTTTTTTTTATGATTTTGAGTGTACCATCGGTATGCCTCGGTATGTACCATACCAAAAAGGGCTTGATACACCAGTATGAACTGAAATTGTAATCCTTGCTTCAATTAATGCATATAAAATAGCATTAGCGGACATGTAAACCGAGCATCAATGTTCTTGAATTAGTTGATATTTCTAGATGTTGCTATTTGGTCAATTAGCCCAACAGCATTCTAACTCTTTAGTGTTAATGTGTTGTTGATTTTCATTGGCACAGCTGATTTTTACTTTGAGGTGAGGGAGCGGCAATGCCAGATTATCATTCTTATGGTGGTGCAGTTATTTATAAGGGTGCATGTAGATAATTTGGATTAACTTTTTGAGCAACTGCGTTATGTAAAATTCCTTAAATCCCACATGAATGCTATGAATGCATAGCTTATGCATGAATTTGATCAGTTTTTTCAAGGTCTAGCTTGTCAACTAGGCAAATTTACTTGGATTGGAATTTGTCCTGGTCAACAAGAATGACTGATCCATCTTGAGTTTCCTTGTTCATGTCAGTCTTAATTCGAACCAAAGACACCTAAGAACACCTCTAATCATCCAAGAGGGAGGAGGAAGGGAAGTGGACCATGTTTTTTACCTCTTTTTGAATCCCATTAGGGGCTGGCCATCCATAGGACAAAAAAAGCTAGGGCCATCATCCCTAAGGCAGGTACCACATGCCTCATGGGTACCTGACCAGTTCATGAATTCAGTAAGGGATTGCCAGGGGTAGGCAGAATACTAAACAAATAATGAGGGAGCACACCATAGTTATAATTTCAAGTCTTTATTAGGTTAGATCAAGTCAAAGCTTTCTTGATTTGTAAAATACATTACTTCGGTCCCTTGGGCAATTCATTGAAGTGATAATAAAGCTTTCTATTTCCTTATTCTTTTTATTTTTTTTATCTCTTTTATATTTGTCTCCCTCTCTTTTCTCCTCCTCTAAATTTTCTTTTGGAGGTTTTATTATTTTCCCTCAGAATTAGATTATGCTTGATAGGAGGTGACACATCCAGTCACACATTTAAATCAACAACAGTTTAATTATGTAATACTACCCATGTTATTTTAATTTTTAAGTAAAATTCTATATGTAATAGGACATGCTACTAAATTAATCTTTATGCTCATGATGATATTTTAGTGGAATGTGATTGTATATTTATTTTTTAGTTTTACTTGTGCTTTGTGCAAATCTTTATATTTCTTGTTTCCCATCATTTTTTCATTTTATTGAATTTAAGTATTTGGGCTTTATGTCTCCAAAATTAGCTAAGAAAAAGGGTGATTACTGCCCATCGCTCCTGCCAATACACGGTTTGAAGGATGTGCAACTGGATCATGTTATTCCTAAAAGCCATGGTGGTGACCTATATTGACCTATATGTCCACGATCACCTCTTAGAAGCACCATATTTTTGTCTGTTGCTTTTGGCGCAAGCTGGCTCTTGACCATGTCTCTTATATTTTGTTAGAACACAGGTTTTATAAAAAGTAACAACACAAGGAGAGAGATGATAGAAGAAAAGATTGGAGAAAACCAAAAACTTCCGCTAGTGTCTGGACTTCCAACACAAACTCTAGTTATGGAACATGACAATTCAATGTTATATGAATCGTTCCTCTTCTTACCAACTCCATATTCTAAACCAAAACACATAATGTAATAAATATTTAATTTGTGTCCTATTTTATTATAAATTGGAACAGATTGAAGGCATCATTTGGCATTTTATTGTTTACACTTCTCAAATTGTGTTAGTTTTTATGGTTTTTGTGTTGTGGATCCAATCGTGATCCACCTGCCAGTAGTTGGACAAATATGGTCTCGTGGTACAGACCATTGTATCCCCCTGTAATTTTTGATATTAATGGGAGCAGAAATACTAGAGAAATATAACCTTGGCGACTTGCAATCAATTGAAGTCTTTAATCTTCACTTGAGGACATAAGTTGTATTGGAGATAAGAGGCAAGAGCTAGAATTCTTGTTCTTTATGTTATCTTCCTCTCTTGTTCTTTAACTTCAGATGAAGGCAGCAGTGACACTGCGATTATCTAACTGAGCCCAAAAGGCACTTTTTATTAATAACCTGTTCTAGTCTTCAGAAATCAAACCTAGCCAGGCCGACTATAAACTTAAAAGAACTGGATAGTCTAGAGCTTAAATTGGGTCATCTCTCAGTATGAGATGATCCATGGGCTATAGAAAATAATTGGCTTTCAGCTATAGAAAGGGTCACACAACAATTATTTAGCACTTTGGATGTCTTGCACCACTTTTGTTATCTCACTTGATTGCAATAAATGATATCTTCATAAAAAAAAAAAATTCTATTGAATGATTGAAGATAATCAATACTTCTAAAATGTTCTCTGCCTATTTCATCTTTTGATATTGCTATAGTTTCACTTGATATGGTAGTCTTACTCTTGTCTAGTCTAATATCCTTATTTTCTCATGTTTGCTACCATAGAAGTTTTGGATTAATCCCTATTAATCTCTTTAATTAAAAGAATATCATTAACAAACATTTTCCTCGATGAAAGTTTATTCTGAGTATGCCTAGTTAGTTCATTGTGAAAAAATAAAGTGATAGAACTAAAGCTTTTGGTAAAACCTGCAGTGATATAGAACTTACTGAGATGCTCAACTTTATATCTATCTTTTGTCACCTCAGTATAACTACTAGACACCCCTTTCTTTTGAAAAATCCAACACACGATATTTCTGGGACCTTTATCATACTGTTTTCTAAGTTAATAAAAGACTGTACAAACCCCATAGTAGAATTCGTAGAGTTTTATATTTTCATAATCAGACAATTTTGTTGGTTATTAGCTAACTAATGCAACCCTGTTTTCTGTGTTGGTTATATTCTGGTAATTGGCCATAATTCTTTAGATACTGCTTTCAGTCCTTATTCAATGTGTTTTAATTTGGTATAGAATCACTTTGTTGCCATCAATATTGATTGTATTTCCCTATATTAGGTTTTTTTTTTGTTTTTAGGATGTACTGGCATACCGTGTTGGTATGCCAGTATGGACCAAACCTGTATTGGTCCGGGCATGGGCCGATATGGATCTAGGACGAGAAATCCTTTTTCTTCATGATGTTGGTTTTTCTCTCAAGCTGAGTTCATTAATAGTTGCTATTTATTGTTCCTTCTACAGATTTGGATGGCGTGGTCAATCACGAGATAGCATTGGGACTGTACTGTGTGTTGATGATGATGGTATCTTAAGGGTTGGTTTTCCTGGAGCATCCAGGGGATGGAGAGCTGATCCTGCTGAAATGGAAAGAGTTGAAGAATTTAAGGTTGGTGACTGGGTCCGCGTTCGCCCCTCATTAACAGCTTCTATTCATGGCATGGAAGCTGTAACTCCTGGAAGCATTGGGATTGTGTATTCCATCAGACCTGATAGTAGCCTTTTGCTAGGTCTTTGCTATTTGGCTACTCCATGGCACTGTGAACCTGAGGAAGTTGAACCTGTTGAACCTTTCAGGGTAAGTGAGATACATGGTTGTTAGATAATATATGATTTTCAGTTTTTTTTCTTTGTTACTACACTTTTTTTGCCCTTTTTTGAAATATATTTTATTCACATTCTCTACTTTAACCTTTTCAGATTGGTGACCAAGTATGCGTAAAGAGATCTGTTGCAGAGCCTAGATATGCTTGGGGTGGTGAGACACATCATAGTGTGGGAAAAATAATTGAGATAGAGACTGATGGTCTGCTCATAATTGATATTCCAAATCGATCAACCCATTGGCAAGCTGATCCTTCTGATATGGAAAGGGTCGAGAACTTTAAGGTACTTTTCTCTATAAATTTGATCCTCAAAAAGGCATTGGCAAATATCATATCTGAAATTCCAAATCCTTGAAACAAATGTGGTGTGCAGGTTGGTGACTGGGTCAGAGTTAAAGCTTCAGTACCATCTCCCAAGTATGGATGGGAAGATGTCACACGAAACAGTATTGGGATAATCCATAGTCTAGAAGATGATGGCGATATGGGTGTTGCCTTGTGCTTCAGAAGTAAACCTTTCAGCTGCTCAGTGGCGGATATGGAGAAGGTGCAGCCCTTTGAAGTAGGAGAAAAGATTCATTTGATGCCATCCATATCTCAGCCACGACTAGGATGGTCAAATGAAACTGCAGCAACTGTTGGGGCAATAACAAGAATAGATATGGATGGAACTTTGAACGTGAGACATTTATCTATCTGCTAACAATAGTGTTCTTGTGTTAGATTCAGCATAATTATTTTTTTCTCTATTTCCTCCACAAATTATTGTTTAATGCAGATTAAGGTTGCTGGTAGAAGTAGCTTGTGGAAAGTTGCCCCAGGAGATGCCGAGAGACTTACAGGCTTTGCAGTAGGAGATTGGGTGCGTTTGAAGCCAAGTCTTGGTTCTAGACCCACCTATGACTGGAACAGCATTGGGAAAGAAAGTGTAGCTGTTGTTCATAGCATACAAGACTCTGGATACTTGGAGTTGGCTGGGTGTTTCAGGAAGGGGAAATGGATTACTCATTGCATGGACGTTGAGAAAGTCCCATGTCTGAAAATAGGGAACTACGTCCGGTTTCGTGCTGTAATTGTTGAACCAAGATGGGGCTGGAGAGATGCTCGGCCTGATTCTAGAGGCATCATAACTGGTGTGCATGCAGATGGAGAAGTCAGGGTGTCCTTTTTTGGCATTCCAGGGCTGTGGAAAGGAGACCCTGCAGACCTTGAGAAGGAGGAAGTGTATGAGGTTGGTGATTGGGTCAGGCTTAAAGATGTATCAGGTTGTTGGAAGTCCCTGAAACCTGGAAGCATCGGTGTAGTGCATGGAATAGGGTATGAACAAGATATGTGGGATGGAACCGTTCATGTTGCGTTTTGCGGCGAGCAGGAGAGGTGGGTGGGACCTGCTGCGCACCTTGAGGCGGTAGACAGGCTTGATGTGGGGCAACGGGTGAAAATAAAGAAATGTGTGAAGCAGCCACGATTTGGTTGGTCCACCCACAGCCATGCTAGTATTGGGACTATATCTTCTGTAGATGCAGACGGGAAGCTAAGAATATATACACCAGCAGGATCTAAAGCTTGGATGATTGACCCAGCCGAGGTGGACATATTGGAGGAAGAGAAAGTGCAAGTTGGTGATTGGGTCAAAGTGAGGGAAGCTATTCTGACCCCAACATACCAGTGGGGAGATGTGACACATGCCAGTATAGGAGTGGTGCACAGGGCAGAGGATGGGGAGTTGAGAATTGCTTTCTGTTTCAGAGAGAGACTATGGGTATGCAAAGAGTGGGAGGTGGAAAAGGTGAGAGCATTCAGAGTAGGTGACAGGATAAGAATAAAACCGGGTCTGGTGATGCCAAGGTGGGGATGGGGAATGGAGACATCTGCTAGCAAGGGTGAGATCATGGGCATAGATGCTAACGGGAAGCTGAGGATCAGGTTCAAGTGGAGGGATGGAAGATTGTGGATAGGGGATCCAGCTGATGTTGTTCTTGATGACATCTCAACCTAGTCCTGTGCTATTGATAACTGCTGCTTGTAGTAAGGGTTTCAGCAATTCTTTCTCTTTATTCTTTCCTCATTCCACTTCTTTTGGCCTGCCGCCGGTAAAGTATCTAAGCTATTATAAGTTGGATCTCAAGCTGGTTATATGAGATTGCATAACAAGTGTCAGCTCTAGAGACAAATTTCTTAATGCAACCAGGACATAAAGCAGCATTTTCTTGGTGAGGAATGTAGTAGTCAGTTTCTCCTCCTAGTTTGTATCCATATTAACTATGGACGTACTACTGTCATTGTGTTAGTCTTTGATGCTGGTGTACAGATTCTCATATCTGACAGGTGCTTGAGAAAATTGTTGTCGTCGTTGTTGCTCTTGAAATGTCGATGATTTTTAGTTTCTACCATTCTCTCTGTGAAGCTCTGTGAGCACATACATAATTTCTACCCGAAAAGGAAGAAAAAAGCAAGTGTGGCCGCTTGCGATACGAGTTTTCGTATCGATACGTAAACGAAGGGCTGCTTATGTGGATTGAAAGGGTCTGTGAATGCAGGTTGCCACGGAAGTAGTCTTGGGCTAAAGGATTCATCTTTGGTTCGTGACCACTTTTGACTTTATTAGATTCTGTTGACCTATCACACAAAAGCATGGAGCACGAAGTCACATTTTAATTTGGATTTGCAATCGAAAAGACAAAGCAACGTAAGGTCAATTATTTTTTTAGTTTTCGTTGATAAAATTAATATAGTTAGGATAAATGAATTTAGATATTTTACTTTTATAATTATATAGATATCAATATAATTTTTGGAAGATAAAAGATCGAAATCCTAAATGCAGCCAACTATATAAGATAAGCTATCTGCTCATCAAAGCCTCGAGCAACTCCGGAGGAAAACCGGGTTTCAACCAAAAACTTGGCAGCCAACCAGTGAGCACAGTTGTTAGCTTCTCTAAAAACCCAAGTAATAGAAAAGATTTGAAGACCAAAAGTACATTACTAACACAGTAAGTCAAAAAGCCAAGGTGGCTGCTCCGCTTAGTACGGAGTGGAACTAAGCCTTCAGCATCCACTTCCAGATGCAGCTTCTGGATTCCTTCTTCCAATGCAGCATTAATCCCCTCTTCTACTGCCTTCATTTCATTTATCCATTATCCAGCAGTTTCCTTCAGCAATGAACTTGCCCCCAGGACTTGATCATCTCTTGAAACAAAGCCTGGGCCTCCAACATGCATTGTTGCTCATGAACATATCAACATAGATCCATTTCTACTTCATCCATTTTTTACCAGATGAATAGATGAGAGATGCATAATAAACAATGTTTTTGTTAGAAAAATTGAATTCATGTTTCCAAGTCGAAGCATCCTTAAAAGAAAAGAAAAGAAAACAAAACACCACAATTTTTGGGAAAGTAGAGTTCTCACTGCAGCAGGAGTTGTGCAAAACTTTTTACGTAACAATAATAAGGGCCAAATCAAACTCTGAAACCCCTACTCTTCCTCCTTCCGCGAGCCCGTTCAAACTTCCTTCCCTTGGATCGGACATAAGGCTTGGTGTGGCTATGTGGAACTCCAGGTGCCTTACCAAAGTGCTTCACAGCTTCCCTAGCATTCTTTGGACCCCTCAGGAGTACCTATACATAAAAATTATAATTACATTTACTTATCGGAAAACACAGAAAGTGCTTCCTATTTAATTCAAAACCTATGTTCTCTTTGAGCCATCATGTCAGAATCAGAAAAGATATATCACATTTACTAAGAAACTATAATTCTAGGTAAGAAAACAAAATTAAAGTTTAAATTATCAGGCTTCAGCATCTTAAGTTAAAGAAAACAAGACAAAGAAGTTTTCGCTGTGATAGTAAGAGCAGAACACACGTCAAAGAGGAAAAAACAAATCAGATTGCTCTAACCCATGAGGACTCTCCTCACTTAGGTACCTCACCTAGTTTCATGGTTACTATAATTTCTCAAAGTCTCTTCATTATGGCTAAAAGTGGGATTTACAATGTTTTTATAAGGATGGATGTCCCTTCGATGATTGACACATACCCCTTTGTATGAGAGAGATGCTTCGGGATTCATATGATAAAAGGCATATGTCCACTCTAGGATCTTCTATCATGTGCGCTTCAAAATGCGTACATGACATCTCTTATTTCAAATGAAATGGACAATATCAAGATGTTAAATCTAAGTTCGAATGAAATGGACAAAGTCAATAAATGAGAACATGGAGAAAAATAAATTACTTGGAGCATATGATGGATCAAGTTTTCAAACCAAATAAGAATTTGTGGTGCTTAAAATTTGGCTAGGTTAAGAAAGGTTACGATGAATAAAACAACATGCCAGAGTTTAGAGTTTTTGTTTAGAAACTATCAAAAAGATGGGGAAAAATTCTCATAATCATAAAATAACTTTACTATTGAAAATGTATATTAATGGAATATACTCCTTGTGGTTAACTAATCTCAAAGGATTCATGCGAACTATTGAAAAATTCATACAGGATAAGAAAGGCTACTATGAATAAATCAACATGCCAGAGTTTAGAATTTTTGTTTAGAAACTATCAAAAAAATGAGGAAAAATTCTCATGATCATATAATAACTTAAACTATTGAAAATGTATATTATTGGACTATACTCCTTGTGGTTGACTAATCTCAAAGGATTCAAACGTACTATCGAAAAAATCTTCATTCTCCAAACTTACGATATCGATAAACAATTTCCAAACACTCTAGGGGTTAATGCCCAAAATCCTACATTTCAACATTTCTTCAAAACAAAATGGAGGTTAAAATGTTGAAAGTTTACTTGAACAAGTGTAGTCATGGATTTATACTAAACATAATAACAAGCACAAAATTAATCTCAATATTTATTAAACTATCAAAATGAAGAAACCAATTTCATCAAATACACAATGCAACTAAGCAATTAACTTCAAAATGCAGCATCAAGTGTAATACATACAGTGTTCTGTCCAAGAGGTGCACGGAGGGCAAGCTGATCAAACGTCAGGCACTCCCCACCTGCCTTCAGAATCCTGGCTCTTGCTGTCTCCGTGAACCTCAGAGCCGTGACCTTCATTGCTGGCACTTCGTAAACCCTCTTGTCATCAGTCACCGTTCCCACGATGACTGCAATTTTGTCATCCTGATTCAAAACAATGACTTTAGTAACATAATCACCAATCTATAATTCTCATAGACAGAAACCAATAGGAAAACAGGGTAAAAAATGTCTAGCCTTTCCATTCATAAAAGTAATTAGCCTTTTGAGGGATATCGGAGGCCGGTTGATCTTGCTCATGAAGAGCCTTTTTAGAATCACCGCATTGAACTTGCTACCCGTCCTTCGCACCAAAAACCTGTAGAGCTGATCGAAATGGCAAACACAATCAATTCCAAGAGATAAAAAAACCAATCTTGCACAAAGACAGACTTCACATGTAGGCCAAACAAAATCGATTCGAGTTGATCTAAACCTTGACGAGGAGCTTGAGGTAAACATCGTCCGACCTTGGCGCCGTGCGCCTCGCCTTCTTGCTCCGGCCTCCGGCGACGATATCGATACCCTGCAAAAAATACGAACGTGAAAGAGATAGAGATCAGACGACAAACGCAATGGAAGGCAAATTGGCATCGATTGACATTTGCGTTCGAGGGAGGAAATCACCATGACGGCGTAGTTTCTAGGGTTTCCGGAAGGCTGCCTACAAAAAGCTTCCGTTCATGATATTTATGTGGTTGTTGCGGTTCGGTGTCCTGCGGTTCATCGCAATGGCCATCAGTACGCAAATCATAAGATCTGAACCGTTGGATTCCATAGCAGAATGAGACGTTGTATAAGAAAATGACTGCGTCATTATATATATATATATATATATACACACATATATATATATATATATATATATATGTATATATATGTATGTATATACATATATACATGCATATATA